ATCTGGGTTGTAACAGACCTTTTCTCCAAGCAGACCCACTTCATTCCCTGCCAAAAAATCCCCACTGCTAAGGCACTTGCCAAACTGTTCCTGCAACATATGTATTGGCTACATGGGCCCCCACAAAGGATAATATCTGATCAGGGGGTCCAATTCACTTCAAAGTTTTGGAAGGCCATTTTGGACCTTCTCGGAACTGGCCAGGGCCTAAGTTATAGTCATCATCCTCAAAGTAACGGTTCGACAGACAGACTGAACTCAATTCTGGAACAATATTTAAGGTGCTTTATTAACTACCAGCAAGATAACTGGACTGACTTCCTGCCTTTTGCAGAAGTTGCCTATAATAACTCTGTGCACTTTAGCACTGGCTTCACCCTGTTTTGAATTGCCACTGGCCAGGACTTCATCCCAATGCCAGAACTACCAGTAGAAGAACCAACCATACCATCCCTTAAGGAGTGCATACAATTACAAAACACCTGGCCAGTAGTGAGACTAGCCCTGAAGGAGGCTAGAGTCACTTTTAAAGCTAAAGCTGACAAAAGAAGGACAGAACCAAACCCATTTAAAATAGGTGTTAAAGTTTACCTGTCCACAAAATTCCTACAATCCTTACAACCCTCAAAGAAATTGGGACCCAAATTCATAGGGTTTTTCCCAATCACTAGAATCATCAACCCAGTAACAGTAGAATTACCACTCCCCAAGACACTTAGACAGGTCCACTCAGTTTTTCACTGCAGCCTGTTGAAACCCGAAATTACATCCCCTTTAAGGCCCCCAGAAGACACTCCTCTGACCCCTATTATGGTCGAAGGGGAACAACACTTTGAAATTAAAGAGATCCTTGATTCCTGCACCCACTGGGGTTCAATTCAATACTTAGTCTCATGGAGACATTTACCTCCCTCACAAAATTAGTGGGTGGCTAAGAAACATGTTAGGGCCCCTGCATTGCTGACTAAGTTTCACTCAAAATATCCTAACCAACCAAACTAACTTTCTATGATGACCATCTTTCTGTTCTTTTTTACAGGTAATCCCCTCATTTTTTTGAAGGGGAGGCAGCACGTCAGATCCCTATCATGATACTGCCATTCAAGTGGGGAGGGAATTCTCCTGGATTCTTTTACTCGTTTATTGCTCTCATCCTGTTTCCTATGTATCCTGTAATTCCCTAGTTTATAACTTTTACCCTATTACCTATTCTGCTCTGTGCTTTGATTTACCTTGGGGAATGTATAAGGTGGGAGGGCCATCTGTTTTCTATCAGTTTGGAAGCCTTACAGAAGAAGCACATGTGAACAACTCCTTATCTCATTCTCAGGACAACCGTTTCCACAATATCTTCGCACCTGTGTATTGGCTCATTCAACATCAAACTAAGGGGAGGGGTTTCTAACCACTTTATCCTAATGGAATTGCCTGGGGGGGGAGGTGTGAGCTCAGACCCTGCTTTGCATTATCTTTCATTCACTTCCTTCCAATAAAAGTTTCTTTGTTAAATGCTAAAGTTTCAAGAGTCTATGCTTTCTTGAACAGGAAAGAGAGGCAGGACCTTACACTGCGTGAGGCAAAGCGCCCCTCAACATGAGTGATGTCGAGTTGGCCATGCCCACCCAGTCACATGCCTACCCAGCCACACCTACTCAGCCGGTCATTAGGGCAGAGTACCAGTTTATTTATTTATTTATTTATTTATTTATTTATTTATTTATTTAATTTGTATACCGCCCTTCTCCAGCAGGACTCAGAGCGGTGAACAGCCAGAATAAAACAGAACATACAAAATTTAAAAACAGTTTAAAAATAATTAAATATTTTTGGCCACAATTTAAAACAACCCAATTAAAATCAATTCAATTTAACCGAAAACAGTGGGATCAAGCCAGCCCGCCTAGGTGAAATAAATAAGTTTTCAGGGCCCAACGAAAAGTCCGGAGGTCTGGTATTGTGCGTATCTCTGGGGGGAGGTTGTTCCAGAGGGCGGGCGCTGCCACAAAGAAGGCTCTCCCCCTGGGGGTTGCCAGCCGACATTGTCTGGTGGACGGCACCCTGAGGAGGCCCTCTCTGTGCGAGAGTACTGGCCAGTGGGAGGCTATTGGTGGCAGAAGGCGGTCTCGTAGATACCCCGGCCCTAAGCCATGGAGCGCTTTAAAGGTGGTCACCAACACCTTGAAGCGCACCCGGAAGACCACCGGGAGCCAGTGCAGCTCGCGCAGGAGAGGTGTCACATGGGAGCGCCCGGTCGTTCCCATAATCCCTCACGCGGCCGTATTCTGGACCAGCTGGAGCCTCCAGGTGCACCCCAGGGGGAGCCCCATGAAGAGAGCATTGCAGTAGTCCAGGCGGGAGGTGACGAGTGCCTGAGTGACCGTGTGTAGGGAGTCCCGATCCAGAAAGAGACGCAACTGGCATATCAGGTGAACCTGATAAAAAGCCCCCCTGGCCACGGCCGTCATATGCTCTTCTAAAGACAGCCGTGCATCCAGGAGTACGCCCAAGTTGCGAGCCCTCTCCGTGGGGGCCAGTGATTCGCCCCCAATAACCAGCGATGGCACCAGCTGGCTATATCGGGATGCCGGAAGCCACAGCCACTCGGTCTTGAACTCTCAAATAAGTTGTTAACTTATTTGAATCCAACCACTGATGTTATGCTATAGACAAACAGTATTATAACATTTAAAAGTAATGTTCCTATATCCTGCATTTGACAATGAAAAAGTTTAAAAAGTATAAAATCCAGGCAATAACTTCCTAATGAATACAAGTTGCCTAGTATTGAAAATAGATAAAAGTTGCCTAATATTATATAGCCATTTGATTTGGCAACATCTCAATATGATACCTTATATTTTATCAATTTTGCTCTCTGACCAATGTTAAGGGTAGACAAGGTTTCAGAAAAAAACCTGGATGAACATTTGCTATGATGCATGTTTTTGCTTTATCTCCAAGTGAATCCTGTTTAAAGACATGACTACTCCATAATAATTTTAAAAATAACATTTAATATACTATTTCCAATATTACTTTTATCTAAATAATGTTATTAACAATTATAAATGAAAGAAATTATAGCAATTACAAACTGCAAAAGATATAAAAATGATGAGTGTAAAAAAGAAAAAAAGGGAAAGAAAAAGTAACTTCCCACCTCATTCTAGCAAGTAAAAACAACTTATTGCCATCTCTAAATACAACATAATTTCTCTTCTCTGTATAGCCGATCAATTAAGTAAAAAAGAAGAAAAAAGAATCCAAAAGTTTTCTTGATCACTGTTAGCAAAAGTCCAGTAAAGGCAACCAGATATAACTGTTTTCATCTTTAGCCCTAATCAAATAGGCCAACCTTACTTTCCTTCTCTGAGTTTTTAAAAATATTCTTTAACCACTTGTTTAAAGTTTCGGGTAGGGTTGCCAGGTCTGCTTCCAAAAAATAGCGGACAAGCGGGGAGTGGTGGTGGTGGTGGTTAAGTAGTAAATTTTTTTAAAAAAAAATTACAATTAAATTATATATTTTCTTACAAACATTTTAACACATATTAAAATAATTACTTCAAAACTTTACTTACAATTCAAAACATCAAATATATTATAATAATATGTAAAATATTAAATTACATTTTACTTTGCTGTTGTGTGTATTTTTATTTGACTGTGCAGCTTTGATCAATTCTTTGTGTTTAAGGAATAATTCTTTAATTTCAGTATAACGTTGAGAAATATTAAAAAATATACAAAGTCCACTTCGAACTGATACAAGCAGTCGGTTATGTTCGTCAGTCCACAAATTTCCCATGAAAATTCGTTCAACGTTTGCATTTGATACCGGAATTGATGCATAATACCGGAACAGTTTCAGTAAACTCGGAGCTGGCTCTTTCTTGAAAAAGTATGTCCACTTATCAAGGGATGAATCACCCTGCAGATGAACATAAACTTCTTCTAAGGCAGAAATTTCATCGAAGAGAGTATTGGGTGGAAGTTCTTCTCGCCATGGTGATAATAACCAGATGTTCGTCATTTCTTCTAAAGTTGGAGGATTATTGCAATCAATTAGATTGAAACAATTTAGCGTCTCATATACTGAATCGGTGAAATTATACCACTTTTCTAGGTACGCAATGGCTCTTTGATACACGTTGATGGCTTCTTTCTTGAACTTTTGCACGGCATTCTCAGGCAAATGTTTTTTACGTAAGGCAAATAAAACTTTCATTCAAAAAAACTGCTCATCGTATTTTTTTTTTGCAAAGAATCATGCAGCTTACACATGATAATGTGAAGATCACATGCAAGAATTTTCTTGCTTTCCAGCTTCAGTAGGGTGTCTTGCATTATTGACATGAAGAAGTGCGTGAAATATAAATACGATTCTGAAATTGTTGGTTCATCGTCCTTTGTGAGTTCATTTTCCTGATCCAAAATAAAGTTCCAGATAACCTTATGGTACTCATCAGATCCAAGAGAAATAAAATACGATTTTAGAGGTATCCAGTTTAAAAGAAGTCTTTCGACCACTTTAACAAACTTAACCAACATGTTGGAACATGGCGCAAAACTTCATGGAATTCTGACTCGGAAAACTCAAAAAATGATTTCAACTCTTCTCGTTTCTTCACAGAATTCAAAAATTCAGCAAAAACCTTCAGCACTACATTTTCGATATCAAAAGATAACTGCTTTAATGCATTTTTTGCGCTGTTGTGTAAAATGTGATTATTGCAATGAGCAGCTACAATATTGTCATTTTCCAGCAATAATTTTTGGTAAACAGATTTGTTCACTCCATAATTGACCAATGCATTATCTGCTGAGTAAGCTGGAACATTATTTATTTCCAATTCGTTATCACTAAGAACTCGACACAGCTGATTTTTTATTGATGTAGAATCTTCGAAAGAATCCTCATAAAAGTCTAAAATTTTCACACACAGTCTGTGATACACAGGAAATGCCTGTACCCAGAAAATAATTGACAGAGAGTTGTGAGATAAGACAAGAATATAGTTTATTTAATTATTTCTTTGCAAAGGTCCCCCCCAAAGTGAGGGAGCAATTACCATCCTTTCTCGCCGTCTTTTATACAATTTTCAGGTTACATCTTACAGGATACAAGCATGTCCCTTGAGTACAATTTCAGACTTTATATAATACATGAACACATGATATTCCCATTATGGAAAGTCCCCATAATTCCAGTACATAAAAATACCCTACTTAAAAATATTGCTTACACGTGTATATCAGCATAACAAGTAATATCAGCATATACGCACTTCCCTTTCTTAACGAGGTCAAGCCGACCTGGACATCTCAAGAACACAACTTCCTCTAAAAACACAGGAACCACACATCCTGTTCTCACACTCCTTAAACTGTCAGCTAAATTATATACTCAGGTTATACAGAGTAAAATAAGGCCTTAACATGATTTTAAAATGGAGTAACTTAGGCTATATTGTTTTACAGGAATAACCCTAATTTCTTTATTTCTCACAATCCCTCCTTCTTCTCTTTATCAGTTTTATTCCTGGAAACTATGTATATCTTGCAACATTATAGAAACCTCTCTTCTTCCCAAGCCACCATGCGAGTCTTCAACTAATTTCTTTTGCTTCTTTATTTGGCAGCAACACTTCCAAACATTACAGCAAAGAGGTATACATTTAATACAAAGACAGGAAATAAGACATATAACTACAATCAATAATATGCCTACAAACAATTCCCTTAACCATGTAAAGCTAGGTAACCATGAAGTTAATATACCCCAAACTTCTTTGAAAGCTGTATTCTCAGTTACATATGTTAAATGTGTAGTAATATTGTGTAATGTTTTTATCTTAGATTCTATAAATTGAGACCTATCGGATACATTGAAACAACAAAGGCCGTGGAACTCCTCGCACCCATGACCCATTCTTAATAGCATATAATCTATAGCCACTCTATTTTGTAATAAGGATTGTCTTATTTCTCCCATCTCATCAGCTAATGCAGCAATAGCAGAAGATGTTTCATTTATACTCTTAGCTAAAGCACAAGCTAGGTGTCCAAGTTGATTCTGACTATATTGTGTAGACATCCATGGAAACATTCCCAAAAGTCCAGCCTGAACCTTATTCAGTACTACCACTTCATCATTACAATTAGCATCAAATTCCAATTGTGTAGCATCTCTTTTACCTCTATAAATCCCCTTATATGTTCCTTCTCCAACATGGTCATATGTTTCTATCGGAGTAATATGCCATTTAGTAGGATTCTTAGGAGCATATATAATCAAATGAGGTTCCCCTTCAGGCCTAGGAATTTCTCCATTTCCATGTCCCTCTACACTTTCAACACCTCCATGCGTAGTTACTTTAGTCATTACTTTTTTCTGAACACGGTCAGTATGATACAGACTTGCATTCATCATCTCATAATAAAACTCTGTTTTATAATTTATATCTTTAAAATGTGCAACAGCCATAACAGTAGTTAAACGGCCAATAGTACAAGGACCACCTACTGCATGTGCTGGAATATATGCATAAGCATATAACCCACAAAAGAGAAACCAACCTTTAGGCAAATATAGAACCTGATTTATAGCTTCCACTTCCTCCGTTTCTGAGCAGTGAAAAACCTTTTTATTAGGCACAGGAACATATATTACCTTCTCCGGTCGCTTCTCAGGATGTTTATATATTACACAATCATATGCTGGCAATATTGTCTTAACTTCAATCACCAGTTTCTTCTGATTTGTCCACTTAGTTGGCTTTTGTGGACTCCCAAATAATGTTATAATATGTGACAAATTAAGATTATTTGGCTCTATTACAATATTTGCTTCCTCAAACAAAAACTTTCCCGGTACTGGTACCCCCACAAAGCATGTAGCCATTATATCAGAGACAGTTGTCTCACCTCTGACACAAAAGGAAGTACTGTTTAAAGCTACCTTCATTAAATCCAGAAATATATTGCCTTCTCTCGTCCTCCGTTCAGCAATACTTCTGGCATGTCGTAAAGGTGCTTTAAGATAACCAACAGCACATCTTCCCTTCCAAAAATAAGGCAATTTAGGCAAAGCCAAATTTCCACATAAAAACATTAACTTCGAAGGGGCCTTTATTTCAAAATATGGAAAATGTAATCCCTCCTCCAAAATACGGAACTTCTTATATGAAGGAGTATGATTACCATAAAGATCAGTACATTGATTATATAAAAACTCCATTCTTTCTGACAAATCAGTGTATTTAGTGGTAATGTCATATGTATTATTACAATTAGCATATCTGCCCAAGGGTATCCCATCAACAAAAGATGATCTTATACATATATCAGCTTCTTCAGCACCCTCTATCAAGGTCAGTGTCTCTATTAAAGAATATCGGTGCTCAAGTTCAGTATGGAAACATAACTGCTGCCATGTTATTGGATAATCTTGTAACACAGCCAACATCTCTTTTTCCATCCCTATCTGCACCTTCAATAAAATAAACAGAAACACCATATACCCCATCTTCCTAGTGGACTAATTCCCCTCTCCAATATAGCTTTCAAAAAGATAAAATATTATTATCTTACCACCAAGGTATCAAACTGTCGAGGTGAACTTTCATCCACTGGATACCAAAGCATAGATTTACACCAATCAATTATATCTTTTCTTAATACAATCAAAAATATAACAAAAATCAATATCACTCCTAACCAAATACAAAATTCTTCATAAAACTTTTCTTCCATCCGTTGGTCCTCAATCATCTAAGGGTTGTCTACGAAAGGTCAGTTTCAACGGATCCGTAGATTTTGCATCCACCGTCCATCCATATGGCGAAGACACCGGTCCTTTCACTCTTGAATAATGCACCCAACCTCGTTCCTTTGTCCTCACAGCCGATTCAGTAGTCAGCAAAACTTGGAACGGTCCTTCCCACACCGATTGCAACTTTTTCTCCTTAAGTGCTTTAATCAGGACCCAGTCTCCACTCTTATATTCATGGATTTGAAAATCAAGCGGTGGAGTTTGCGCCAATAATCCTTTAGACCTTAAAAAAGAAAAACACTGGGACAGTCCTTGTATATATTTTCTTAGAAAAACATCCTTCAATTCTATTCTGGGCATTCCAACTTTTCCTGTATACGGCAATCCAAACATCATCTCATATGGAGATATTCCTATATCCTTTCTCGGACTTGTTCTTATTCTCAATAGAGCTAAAGGCAAACATTTCGTCCAAGGTAGTTTCAATTCTAACATTAATTTTTTTAATGCAGATTTTATAGTCTGATTAGCTCTTTCCACTCTTCCAGAGGAACTAGCTAAATGACTCAAATGAAGCTGCCAATCAATTCCCAATTGATTCATTACTTGCTTTACCACCTGGGCCGTAAAATGTGTTCCTCTATCACTATCTATTGATTCAATTAACCCATAACGTGGTATCAATTGTTCCAATATAATTTTAACAGTCATCTGAGCATTTGCCCTAGCACAAGGAAAAGCTTCAACCCATCCTGTCAAATGATCCACTATAACCAACAAGTATTTAAGAGTTCCAACCGCTGGCATTTCAGTATAATCCACTTGGATTCTTTGAAAAGGCCAGACAGCCAACTCTCTACCTCCCATAAGTTGTTTCCTCATAATCTTTTTATTTACTCTTACACAATGTATACACTTTCGTAATATTTGCATAGCTATAGTATACATCCCCCTACACACATATGTACGTTTAACAAAATCTATAAGAGCTTGTGTTCCCCAATGAGTTCCCTCATGCACACGTTCAAGCACATTCCTCATCATTGCTTTATTCAAAACTTGCACCCCATCCTTAGTTATCCATTTTCCATTCACCTGACGCACACCCTCATTTATCATCTGTTGTTCTTCTTCAGTAGTAAATACAGGAGTCACGTCATCAGTCAAAGCTGGAATTAAAATCATAATAACTTCCTCCCCTAAAGCTGCTTCCTTAGCTGCTTCATCTGCCATCCTATTTCCCACTATCAATTTTGAAGTTCCTTTCTTATGAGCTTCAACATGTATAACAGCAAGCTTAGTAGGACCTTCAGCTGCCTTTAAAACAGCAATTATAAGATCAACTTGTTTAAGCTCCTTTCCTTTAGTGGAAATCAATCCCCTCTCCATCCAGATTTTTCCAAAAGTATTCAAAATACCATAAGCGTATTTTGAATCTGTATATATATTTCCCACTTCATTAGCCAACAAATGCAGAGCTTGCAATAAAGCAAAAACCTCACACGTTTGCGCCGACCATTCAGACGGTAACTTCCCCGCTTCTAGAATCTCTGAAGTGTCCCCATTTACAACAGCATACCCATTTATTCTCCTTCCGCCCTTAACTCGAGAAGAACCATCAATAAATAAGTTAATACCGCCCTCTAATGGACTATCCTCTAAATCTTCCCTAACCTTGGTCTGCAAATCAATTACTTCCACACAATTATGCTCTATAGAATCCCACTCCTGTCTCTCTCCTGACAAGAATTCTGCCGGATTCAAATTTCTATCTGTAGAAAGAACTAAATTCTCTTGAGACAATAAAATAACTTCATACTTCAAAAGTCTTGCATTTGTTAACCACCTATGCGCCTTCTGCATCAAGATAGTTCTAACCTGATGTGGACTACTCACAACTAATGCACCCCCAAATGTCAATTTTCTACTCTCCTCTACCAATAAGGCAGTTGCTGCCACCGCCTGCACACACAACGGCCATCCTCGTACTACAGGATCCATCAACTTTGACAAAAAAGCTATAGGTTTCTTCTTTCCCGCCCAGGTTTGAGCAAGCACCCCTTTTGCAATTCCATCTTCTACTGCCACAAACAGATGAAACGGTTTCTTCAAATCTGGTAAACTCAAAACCGGAGCCTGCATTAAGGATCTTTTCAATTCCTTCAATTTAGACTCATCATCATCTTTCCATATAACTGTCCAAGGTTCCTCCTCTATTAACTTATCATACAAAAACCGCACCTTATCCGTATAATCATCTATCCACAATCTACAATAGCCCACTAAACCAAGCAATTTCCTAACTTCCTTCTTAGTTTTCGGCAAAGGCTGAGTTATTATTCCTTCTACTCTCTCAGGATTTATCCGTTTACTTCCCTGACTTATCAAGTGACCTAAGTATTTAACTTCTAACTCCACATACTGAAGTTTCCTTTTTGACACCCGCAAGCCACTTCTCCCCAAAAAATTCAATAATGCATTTGTTCCCTTCTCTACCTCAACCTTTTTCTCTCCAGATAACAACAAATCATCTACATATTGTAACACCTGTAATCCAGAAGGAATACAAAATCCTTCCAACACTTGTTCCAACATCTGTCCAAACAAATTCGGACTTTCAGAAAATCCCTGTGGCAAAACACACCATCTATATTGCTGGTTCCTATGAGTATCTGGATCCGCCCATTCAAAAGCAAAAATATCTCTTGATTCCTCATCCAAAGGACATGTCCAAAACGCATCCTTTAAATCTATCACACTAAAATATTTATGGCTATGTGGTATCCTCCCCAACAACGTATAGGGATTTCCTACAATCGAATGTCTATTGGCAACCAATAAATTTATTTGGCGTAAATCCAAAACTATTCTAATAGATCCATCAGGCTTCCTAACAGGTAATATAGGTGAATTATACTGGGACATAGTAGGTTCAATCAATCCATCTGCTAACAACTTCTCAATCACTGGCTTTAACTCTCTCCTCAAATCTATAGGAATATTATACTGCTTCACCTTCACAGGAACTGTCCCTTCCTTCAAAGTCACTTTCAATGGGGGAATATCTAAAACTCCCCTATTACCTTCCTGTTCCCACACAATAGGGTCAATATTCCTCTCCTGTTCTTCCGTCAACACATTAACTATAGACTCATTACAAGAGAATTTTAACTCACAACCAAGAAGCGATAATGCATCTCTTCCAAGCAGATTAATGCCAGCTTCTGGTACAAATATAACATCTAAATAGATCCTTTGCTTTCCACAACCCAAAGTCATATTATTCAACAATGGCACTTCAAAAGGTATTCCTTGAACACCCCTTATTTTAATGGTTGCACCTGTTTGATGCACTCCATTAGGTATTTTACAAATAGAAGTTCTAGTTGCTCCCGTGTCTATCAAAAACACATATTCCTCTTCTTCTGGTCCCACTAACAATTTTATCAAGGGCTCTTGGTGGGATCCCTCTATCAAAAGCCCCTGACCCCACTAATCATCCTCTTCTCCCATAAGGGTATAGAGGCGCGGTTCCATCCTCTGGGACCTCCTCTTCTCTGGACAATTTCTAGCAAAATGCCCCTCCTTGCCACACGCAAAACATTTCCTACTTTCCTGGCCACTAATTCCAGGCCTCCTCAACTGTGGAAATCCTCTTCCTATTCCTGGACGCTGTTTCAATACAGTGGACGGATTCTTTCCAAAATTTCTTCCTCTCCCCACCACTTCCTTTCTATCTGCTGGCTTATTTGCAGCCTTCATTACTGACACCATCATCTGACTCTTTTGCCTAGTCTTTGTTTCATCTCTATTCACATACACTTTTTGAGCCTCCTTCAACAGGGCGGTAATATCAGACCCAGCCCAGTCATCAATTTTCTGTATTTTCTTCTTGATGTCTGGCCATGCCTTTGTCACAAACTGCATTTTCATTAAGGACTCATAAGCTGGCGTTTCAGGAGAAAGACCAGAATACTTATTTAAATTGTCCTTAATACGTTCTAGAAACACTGAGGGTGTTTCATCTCGCAGCTGTTCCACCTCAAAAGCTTTAGTCAAATTCTTTCCTTGAGGTACAGCTGTCTTAACTCCCTGAAGTATAATCCTCTTCAGGTCCTCCATTTGCCCCCGGTCAGCTGCATTGTTATTATTCCAACCAGGGTCTGCTAATGGAAACTTTGTCTCTGCAGCCACGGGTTGAGCGGCCCCGACCTGGGTCTTATCCCAATAGGCCATAGCCGCCTTCCGTATTTGTGACCTCTCCTCAGGGGAGAACAGGTAACCCAATATATGCTGTAACTCAGCATACGTATACAAATTGGGCCCCAAGAACAGATCCAATGATTCTGACAACTTAATTGGATCCGCTTGTAGAGACGGCATATTACTCTTGTAATTTCTCAAATCTGAAGACGTTAAAGGCACATTTACAAACGTTGTCACTGGGAGGCCTGCACCAGTTAAACCATTTGGCATCTCCCTCAAGGGCAACATTTTCTTAGTTTGTAGACGTGTCTTACGAGGGGAAGGAGGTCTTACCGGTGTTGGCACTTCTTCCGACTCCCTCTTTATCTGTTGGTATTGCCGAACTGTTGAAGGTACTCCCCCACTGCTCCTAGCAGCAGCTGCCCCAGCTAAGCCAACTACTGCCCCAGCAGCATTCGGGTTATATGGAGGAGGTAAAGGTGGGCATGTAGCATAAGCCAAAGGATCCCACCTTGTCTCTTCCTCCTCTTCCCCATACAACACTCTAGAATCCCTGGGTGGAAAGGGATCAAACCACTGAACATGAAACCACGGTTCAACATATGGCAACTGAGAAATTAGTTTCTTGCCTTCCAATACCTTCTTCAAGGCATTGATCCAATACGGGTCAGACTCCCCAAACTTACTCCACCTGTAATTAGGCTTTATCAAGATAAACTTCGGCCACACTCTTGTACAGTAATTAATCATAGCCACCTTATCCAACTGTTTAGTATAAACCTTCAACCAATCCTCTGTCCACTGAGTTAACAACTCCCCTAAAGGTGATATTGGAGGAATAGAGGGTATTTCATTGTTAGTATTTTCACTACGTTTACTCCAAGAAAGCCCCATACTGTCACACTCATACACACACTAAGCACACCTAATAAAACCCCAGAGAGAAAAAGTATACTCACTCCCAGTGCAGTCCCCCGGAACGTTCCTCCTGTCTCCTGTCCTGATCTCCAAGTCTCCGTCCCAGGGTTGATTAGAGAAGCTGCTCCCGTCCGGCAAGAAAACAAACCTTAACACCAAAACAGTGTTTAGCGCGCTTTTTTAGATTTATTTGCTTACCAGACGAAAGGTTCTCAAGTCCCTGTTCGGGCGCCAATTGTGATACACAGGAAATGCCTGTACCCAGAAAATAATTGACAGAGAGTTGTGAGATAAGACAAGAATATAGTTTATTTAATTATTTCTTTGCAAAGGTCCCCCCCAAAGTGAGGGAGCAATTACCATCCTTTCTCGCCGTCTTTTATACAATTTTCAGGTTACATCTTACAGGATACAAGCATGTCCCTTGAGTACAATTTCAGACTTTATATAATACATGAACACATGATATTCCCATTATGGAAAGTCCCCATAATTCCAGTACATAAAAATACCCTACTTAAAAATATTGCTTACACGTGTATATCAGCATAACAAGTAATATCAGCATATACGCACTTCCCTTTCTTAACGAGGTCAAGCCGACCTGGACATCTCAAGAACACAACTTCCTCTAAAAACACAGGAACCACACATCCTGTTCTCACACTCCTTAAACTGTCAGCTAAATTATATACTCAGGTTATACAGAGTAAAATAAGGCCTTAACATGATTTTAAAATGGAGTAACTTAGGCTATATTGTTTTACAGGAATAACCCTAATTTCTTTATTTCTCACACAGTCCTTCTTCACAAGTAAAATATTGGGCAACAACGGGATACATTTTGCGATTTCCCTTGTTTGATGTGTCAGTGGAGAGAGAAAATGGAATTACAGTTTTAAGATCATTGAGAACCAACTCAATAGAAAAAGGATACAAAACCTCAGTGACAATAGCTGATGATTTGGTTCTTCCACAAGACATCTTTTTTACAATTTCTGAATCATCAAAAATTTGCTTCATTAACTTAATACCGCAATCTTGAGCCAGGAAAGAAATATGGTGTTTGATCCCATGGTAAGTTTCAGCCATTTCAGCTACAGTCACTTTCTCACTGAAAGAGGAGTCTTTAACAATGAAAAACGAATTAATTCACTTGTTGCTGGAAGCTATTTTCTCCTTATCTAAATTATTTTTTGTGCTTGCATGCTGTGTGACAGCTTTTATACCATTATTTTCAATTGTAAACAATTTCTGACACAATTTACAGTAGGCTGTCATATTTGTTCTGTCGGTTTCGTTGTTGGTAATCCATGCAAAAGTAGCTTCCCAGTCTTTGGTGTATTTGCACACTCCTCTCTTTCGTTTTAAAGAATTCAAAATCTCGCCACTGTCACTCTCATAACTCGACACCATTTTAGGTCAGTCGACACAAGCTACAATACATTTTAAAAATGTGAACTGTACATAATTTTATAATATATTTTTATTTTAATCTCATCATTAATTTTTTCGGAGAATCGAGTTCAATGGATATTCGATCTTTGTCTGATTTTAACTTATGAAAAAAAAGACAAAACACGATTCTCTTATCCTTATTCTCTTAGACCATACAGTTTTAGATTACGTACCATTTCATCATAAAGCTTTTGAATAAAAAAAATGTCCACTATTTTGTGAAAAAAAAATAGTGAACATAATGTGAAAAAAGTGGACTGTCCACTCAAATAGTGGACATCTGGCAACCCTAGTTTCAGGTTTGTTGATCATATGTTTCAAGGCAAAAAATTTTCAGAACCTCAACAAGTTTCTTTTGCAGGTATAATTTATCCTACAGTATAATTTATCCTAAAGTAAAATTTATCCTTTTGCTTGTCAATTCTAATAAAACCATTCAAAATCTTAACATAGCCCTTTTTGTAAATCCAGTAAAAAAATAATATCCAAACAATTTCCTGATTAACAAGCTGTTTTAAGTACTTAAAACATACTTGTTATGGGAGTGTTTTTGAAACAAGAAAAAATGTTTGGTTTGAGTTTGAGAAACAGAATGGTTTCAAGCTGGGAACTGGAAACATTTCCAAAATGCTCAAAACATCTGCCTTTAATTCAGAACAGTGCATTTGGACTTAAAATAGGATATTTCACATTAGAAAGATTTACATATGAACTTGTTGCATATTCTTATTATTGAAAAATTATAGAGTTTTCCATCTTTAGTACAGACTTGAATAATATAAACTCAAACAATTTTTCAGAACTATTATCAAAATATCAAGTTTCAATTACCCACAGCAGAAATGTGAGCTTGGAAGTTTTTATAGGAGATATGTCTCTGTTTTCCATCTAGTGCAGTCATCACCTGGCCCAAGCAAAAAAAAAAGAGTGAATAGATATGCATCACTGTTGAGCCTTCCAGTTTGGCGTCATGGCAATATGGTTGAGGGAAAGTGGGGCTCTGCTTTCCGTGATTGGTTTCTTTCTGCCAGGGGCCCCCAGGGGGCTGAAAAATTGCCCCTTAGAGGTGACGATAAAGGTGGAAACTCTGTTGATCACAAGTAGATGGCAGTCAGCTCGTTTGATCTGGGGGAAGCCTTCCAAAGTGACAGGAGAAAGGTGAGCCACGGCTGTGTGAGCAACCTGAAGCCATCAACAACCAGAGAAGAAAGCTGTCTGTTCTGCTGAAGTGCTAATTAACAGAACATTAACATCACGCTTTGAAGCTGGGCGAGACTGTTTTTTCTCTACCTCTTTGAACTGTATTTCCTGGAACAGACAGATCCCTACAAGAAAAGAAAAAATCCCCTAAACATGACTGGAGAAAGGGGAAATTACACCCCCTTTCACCAGAGGGAAAAAAGCAGCAGCAAAACTACCATGTTTCCCCAAAAATAAGACCCTGTTTTATATTTTTTTGAACCCTGAAATAAGTGCTTGGCCTTATTGCCACGTGCTCAAAAGCCCGATTGGGCTTATTATCAGGGGATGTCTTATTTTGGGGAAAACAGAGTATCGGGGACTTGGAATAAAGAAGGTAAATATAAAACCAGAATTAACATTAAAAAACATTATATGGCAAACATTGATGACTGCTAAATGGCTTTTGAGAGCACAGATGGATGAGAATAACTAATTAAAGAACATTAAAGAACTTTATTTGTGTTTTAAATCCCCAAAGAACTAACTGAGGGGAAAGTTATACCCAGTGGCAAAAAGGAGAAAAAGCTTTTGAAATGTGTTAAATTTAAATGAAAGACCTGGCTTGGAGACCAGTCATAAATATTTGGTTAGAACTGCTGATGTCCTTGAAGTCGGGAAATTATCTAATTGGCAAGGAACATCTGGCAATAGAGAAAATAAGAGGCTTTGCTGCTTATTATCTGGTGGGACTTACAATTAAACCCTGCTGGTTATTGTGGATTACAAATATCGATTGATTTAGATTCACTGACTGGACAAGACCAGCCGGCTATTTTGGATTTGGATTTTGGATTACAAACATTGGTTGAACTGCAATTTTGACTGATAGACTAGAATTATAAACTTTACCTCTTTCTGGTGGACCTAACTATTGGAACCTACTAGATTATAAAGGTTATAGATAAATGAAAGATCATAAAAATTGTAAAATTTAATGTTAAATCTAAATTGTCTATTGATATATTGAATAAACTTTGCTATATTAGATAATATTAATATTTTTTTCTTTTTTTCTTTTGGGAATATACTAGCTTGACAATAGAGCAACTGGAGGGTGGGAATAAAAATGAGTGCTCCAAATCTTACCAAAATTGGTAAAAAGCCTTCTTCTTCAGCATCCCCTTCTGGGGCTCCTAGCCATATACACCAGAGATCTATAGATTCAATGCTTCAAAAAGAAAAATCTAACAATTTTCAAAAATAAATGCAAAAAATGTTACAGATGATCCAAGAAGCAATTGTCTCACATAAAGAAGATACAAGAAAGAATCATGATGTGATAAAAAGTAACCAATATAAAATGGAAGAAAAAATGGACAAAATAAATGAACAGGTCTTTAATATAAACTCCCAGCTACAAAATTTTCAACAAAATATTACAAAGAATGAACAAAGAATTCAGAAAATGGAAGGAAAATCAGAAGAAATGGAAGAAAGATGGAAGAAATAAAAGAAGAAAACCAAAGATTGGCAGAGGCAAATAAAAATTTAAAAGATGCAGTGGCAACATTAGAAATTGAGAAAAACACATATATATTAAGATTTCAAAGACAAGGAGGACGATCTAACAGAACTGGTTACAAACCTGCCTGGCTGAAGCACTGGAAACTGAGAAAGATGAGATAGAAGAGATCAATCAAATTTACATAGTCAACTCAAGCTACGCAAGAAGAAGTGCCTAGGGAGGTTCATGTTAGATTTGTGAAGAGAACAATAAGGGATGAAATATTAAAAAGAGTGAGGGAAGAACCACTACAATACAGAAAAAAAGGTGATTATGGTCTTGAAACAGATCCTTTTCAATGCTTGACTACAAAACTAAATGAAAAAGGAATAAATTTTAGATGGCTGGTTCCGGAGGGGATCCTAATTAATTGGAACTCTAGAAAATATAGATTGGATTCTATCTTTAAGGCAGCAGATTTCTATGAGAGACATGCAAGCATTTTCGAAGGAAAAACACAAGGTGCACAAGCAGACAAAGAATTTTAAAAACATAGAGAAATAGCACCAGAAGAGACAGTGACACAAAGCGAAGAAGATAAAGAGAAAGAAAATATAGACCAAGAAGAAAAGGGACCAATAAAAGAACAAAGACAAAAAAGAACTACTAGGAAACCAAACCCTAAATATAACTAAGTAAGATGGAGACCTGGTGGCTCAGTGGCTAAGACGCTGAGCTTGTCGATCAGAAGGTCGGCAGTTTAGTGGTTCGAATCCCTAGCGCCGCAAAATGGAGTGAACTCCTGTTACTTGTCCCAGCTTCTGCCAACCTAGCAGTTCGAAAGCATGTAAAAAATGCAAGTAGAAAAATAGGGACCACTTTGATGGGAAGGTAACAGTGCTTCGTGTGCCTTCAGCATTTAGTCATGCTAGCCACATGACCACGGAGATAGATACAGAGATGAGCACTGGCCCTAGAGCTGGAAACGACTAGCATGCATGTGCAGGGGAACCTTACCTAAAATGGAGAGAGGAAATGGGTGTAAGGATCGCCTCTCCTTCCAACTTAAGAAAGTACGAACTCTTGAAATGTGGTTGTTCAAAAGGATTCTTTTATTAAGCAGAAGTGAAAGCCATCCAGCTAAAGCACAATCTGAATGCCCTTAGGCAAAGCAGTAGGATTAAAGTGGTAGAGACCCTTCCCTTTAAGTCAGAATGCAGATTTTAGCCAATACACAAGTGTGAAGATGTTTTCTTTACTATTTCCTTTGAGAACCCGAACAAACATGCATTCCCACTACTACCCTTTAAAGTGAGACAACCCACATGGCTATCATATAAATTCCTGCAGGTAAAGGGAATCTCAGGCCTCCTTGGCACCAGGATATAGGTTGTAAAATATCTGATGACACAGACCATGCTAGTAATTTGAATCCAAGTCTCCCCCTTCCTCCACTTGAATGGCAGTGTCACTTTTAGGGATCTGACATGCTACCCTCCTTAGAAAACAAAAGGGTCCACCTGTAAAAAAAAAACAAATATACACAAGATTTCATGATAGTATATCAACAAGGTTTGTTAGGGTATTGGGAGTGAAATTTTCCCAGTAAGATTGGAGCCCTAACATGGTGTTTAGCGACCCATTCATTGTGTGCTGATGGTAAATGTTTCCAAGCAACTAAGTATTGGACTTTCCTTTTGTGGATCCTAGAGTCAAGGATTTCCTTGATTTCAAAGTGTTGTTCACCTTCAATCATGATGGGAACAGGTGGTGTAGATGCAGGTGGTCTGAGGGATGAGATTATTTCTCGTTTGAGTAAACTAATGTGGAATACTGGATGGACTTGCCTGAATGTCTTTGGAAGGAGTAGTTCAACTGCTACTGGATTGATGATTCTAATGATGGGGAAAGGTCCAATGAACTTTGGCCCTAGTTTTTTCGATGGTTGTAATGATTTCAGGAATTTTGTAGATAAGTATACTCTGTCTCCAACAGGAAAAGGTTTGGGTTCCATCCTTTTCTTGTCAGCTTGAATCTTAAAAGCTTCTCTAGCTTCCTGTAAGGCTAATCTAACCACTGGCCATGTGTTTTGCAAATTATCCATCCACTCCTTAAGTGAGGGGATGGTGGGTTCTTTCGTGGGTAGTGTCACTGCATTTTTTGTATTTGTCAGCTGTGCTTCCATTCTGAGACTTACGGTAGACTGATTTGACTCTTATCTCAGAATGCCACCGCGCATGTTCCCATTCCTTCTTTCACATTCTTTCACTTTCTTCTAACTTTTCTTTGTTCGCCTGCCATGAGGTCCGGCAGGAACGCTGCCAAGATGTAATTAATTAGCTAGTAAGATGTTTTTACTTTCTTTATAATAAAATGTGTTTATTAGAATATATTTCGGTTTTATTTTCTTAAAGTATACTTCAAGGAAAGGTCACGATCCATTCTCTAATCAAGGTGCAATTACCCAAAAGCAGAATGGGATTAATTGCCACCCTGACACGTGGTAGCAGAGGTTGGCTTGGGTTGATTTATGGCTTTTTCCTTGCTTGTTACTTTTGATGATAAGCGCATAGGCAATTAGTTTTTAGCTACTGAGGTACGCTAATTATTTTTTTGCAAATATGCCGAAAAAGAAGAAAAAGGGCAAAATGAAACTCAGACTCTATTAATGATTTAAATCTCTCCTACGAAGAAGAGGCAGAAAGGAGGTTTTCAAATTTCCAGCTGCTCGCCTCAGCCACCTGGCTAGAGGGAGCCGTGGGAGTAGAAGAAATGGACGAAATGCTCTTACAAAGGCTTCAGGAGGAAGATAACAGAAAAGCTGCTTTTGAAGGCAATGTGCTGCAACTGAGGTCAGTGACATCTCCTTCTGAATATGCATGGTCTCAAACAGTCCTCCCAGAACCTTCTGAATTTGAAACGCTTGGTGTAAGGCCAAAGTTTTCACAAACTGCCAAGCATTTTTCCTCCCACGCAGAGAGAGAAGTAATCTATTATTCTCCTCAAAGGTCTGAGCTCTCCCTGGATGAGCAAACTATAAAAGCCTATCATGACCATATAAAATTTTTTGAATATGAGCTATTCCAGGCAAAAATGGCTTTCTTTATGGTTGAGCAAGATAAGAGAGAGTCTCATGCTTTTAAAATTCCTGAAACCACCATCTTAGCTTCTTCTTTGAAGCCTAAGACACACACCCCTAGAGGATATTGTGTCAGGCAAATCAGAACAGAGAGCTGTACTCATGTCACATTTGCCTCGTGATCTGGTGTCTCCTTGAATTACACATGCCATGAAGGCGGAAAAATTATCTGAGCTGCCCGAAACTAAATTTGCAGCACCATCTGCTGGTGAAAGTAATTTACTAGAGAAAGCTGACATGCATTGCAATTTGAGAGAGCAATTATAATTGTTGCAGCAGACTTTATCAGAGATGTCCTTAATTCACTCAGATATTCAGACTGCAATGCCACAAGTGTCTCCACAGGCTCAATTTTCAGCACCCCCTGGTAGTGCTGGTGTCTTTTTAGATGGAGCACAACAATGCTTAATGCAGCAAAGGCAAATGACTGCGTCTCCAGCAGGCCATGTTAATATTGCAGCTCAAATGCAACAGCTCCAAGCTCAAGCACAATGGCAGCT